TCATAGTCCACAAACTTGTGGATGTGACAGTATACAATACATGAATTTGCTGTTGATTTGTCATTTTAGCTAAATCATTGACCTTGACTTCATCTAGTTGTAGATCGAGTGTACCTAAAAATGCTTTCTTTCTAAACACAAGCTGGAATGCCCTTAGATACATTTTTTTTTGTCTATCAGGCAGGCCCTTTAAAAACACATAGTATGACTTCTACTACAAATCTTAAAAACTGATGAACTACATGACAGAAAAAAACAGCAACCTCAAAGCTGTAACCCAATCAAACAAACATGATTTTGATTGACTCAATATTAACTCTAAACATAATCTATGCAACCCAAGGCGCTAAGAATGGGCACAGCATACCAATTGCACCATTTCACCCACACAAATGAGAAATCCGGAGGACATACTCAAGGAGTACTTTTAATTTCATCAGACCAATGGCTCAAGAGATTCAATGATGTCATCCTAAATGCACCATATAAAGTCTTTTTCACGAGTCAAATGCATTCCTGTTCTACTTACAATCATAAACTACAGATTGACGACAAATAGAGTCCCAGAACCCAGAGAAAAGTCTCCATTGATAAAAGAAGCTTCAAGATCATGTAGGGGATAACAGTCACATCACTCAAACGCCCACTGGTTCTCCCTCCGAACCTCTTCCTCTTCCTCGGGTGTGAAGTCATTCTTAATGTTGAAGGTCTTACGGATCTCTTCAGGTGTCTTACCCTTGATCATGTCAGCTACAGTTTGGCAAGTCAGATCCAGCAGTCCTTTAATGTTCAGATAATTTGCTGCCTGAATGCACCAGACAAAGAATTAGCACATCACTATATGAACTCAATACCATGAGAATATCATGATTGGCCAATAACATCCTCCGCGAATCAACACAGAGAAAAGCAGTTTCCAAATGCATGAACTATTTTAGAGGGTAATTTTATAAGAATCATGGGAGGAGGTGGAATGAAAACCCTCTCTTTCTACCCCTAGTAAATGCCTTTACTATATATTTTCCCTGCAAAAAGGCAAAGAGTACCACAAAAACAAGGTTGGGCCAGGCAAACTTGGCCGGAAAAATTTAACCCTATACCAAATGCTGCACTTCGATTCTAGAGAATGATGGCCAGTACAAACATGAAAACTAGCAAAGCTGCACTTCAATCGTAACCAGCTAGAGGCTCGACGGTGGAGGCTCTATCTGGCAGCATTTATATAACAGACAATAAAATAGAGAATGATGGCCAGTACAAACATGAAACTTAACAGCTCTGGTTTCTGGCTAAACAGCCCTCAGCGATGCAGGCTTGGATGGAAACAGGCAGGATATGTTGCAGAACATTGCACACGTAATAAGCACAAAGAAAATTTTAGGGCAAAATATGGAGAAGCAAAGAAGTATGTTAAAGGGGATCTACACCCATTAACCAAAAAAAAAGAGAAAAGGAGCCATGAAAACAATAAACCACATTTATTTTTTGGCTTTTATGAGAAGGCTGAGATCCTCAGAACTTCATTTTGCTCTGCCTAAGATAGCTATGCTTGCTTGGATGGCAACAGGCAGGATGTGTTGCAGAACATTGCACAAGTAATAAGCACAAAGACAGCTATGCATGCTTGATTTTGCTCCACCTAAGACAGCTTAATCGGATGAGCTTTTGGGTTTTGTGAATCATCTTTGTCCTTTGGCATTATGGCTCCATCACTATGTTATCTCTATAATCAGTATCATCGGGTCTTCTTGGATATCTACTCAATTACAGAGCAGAAGTGAAAATTAAAAAGGTTTGGCCAAAGTTCCAGTTTCTGTTTCCCTCAGAGTCCTAAGAAAAGAAGGGACTCAAAAATACAGAGGCAGTCCTACAACAGAAGATTCATTTAGTTTGCTCGGTGTCCTACTTAGGCAGGAAACAAGCACAGTATTCAGTTTTAGCTAAGTATTTATACTTTTTAGCATAAAGATTGACGAGTCCCATTAAACAGTAGCAAAGTACCTTTAGCAATTTTTTTCTTCTAGGTGCGTAGCAAAGGACCTTTAGCAATTTTTTTCTTCTAGGTGCGTAGCAAAGTACCTTCAGCATTTTTGTTTCTTCTAGGTGCATATATGAATGCATATTAAACTAAAACTGTAAACTACAACAAAAGCAGCACGCCTTTTAAAGAAGATGAAGTACCAATTATTTTCAGAAGAATTTCATTCTTCCATTTTTTAGGAGTACATGAAGAATGACAACAATTTTTTTTACCTTTTATGTTTATGCATCATGTTTAGGATACAACTTATCAATAACCGTTAATTAAGAATGAGTTATTAGATTTGAAAGGAAGAATAAGATGAAAAAACCAAATTTATAGGAGAAAACCAACTCCTAGTAGTGTCACCACTTTCTAAACTGCTCATGAGTTCCATTTTTCTTGAACCTCAAGTATTGCCTTGATAAGTGTTGAACCTCATGCCAAACCCATTGCATATGTGGCCTTTCCTACTGATGCAACTTTGTTGCAGTTAGATAACATAAATCTAGAGAGACTAAGAAAGGGAGTTGATTTATGTAAGTAATAAGTGCCTTTAAAAATTACAGAGAGCTCATAGAATCCTCCATGATAATTAGATATCAAATAATAATCTGAAAACTAATAAACTAGCACAAGCTCATAACTTCCAGGTTAAGAAAACCAATCAACCAACCAAATACTTCACATCAAACAAATTCAAAATTAAAAATGGACCATCAAATTCTAAATGATAACACAATTTCCTGAAAAGAAAAAATATATCAAAATTATGAAATCATAATAACAAATGCTGATAACAAAAGCATGGAACAAATTTGACCAGTAATATGTCCGAATTTGTGTTAATACCATGAGAGTTGTTGAGTTGACAAGAACTTTGAACAAGAAACATGACATATAACAAGAAATTACATATCCAGAGATAGACCAAATTGTAGTCTGCACCAGTTTTGTACCAGACTTTATCAATACCTTGTTATAGGGCATAGTGAACAATGAATTATCTCATTCAAATAAGTGATCTAACATCGATAGTGCATCGTTATGGAAAGGAGATATAAATAAAGAAGAAAACATCAAAAGAAACAGTGGCATCACATGGGATCGATTTCATATTAATGAAAAAAGTACAAATAAGAAAAGGATAAGCTAGAAAAGAGAAGCAACCATATTCAGTAATCATTTCTCTTCGCTCAAAAGAATGTATGACCCCTCTCTAAGGTCTGTAGGAGGAAGAAAGTCCAAGATATTCCGCATCATTTCAAGTAAGAAAAACAACTATTTTAAAGGTAATGTTACAACCAATTGTGTTTTCAAGGTAGAAATTAAATTCCTTAAGATCCATCAAGAACAAAGTACAAATAACAACAAGGATATTGACATTTCCCATAAACAAAATCATACGTAAAAAGAAGAATTCAGAAAAACATGAAGAATCCAATTGATTATGGAAAAAAAAGGTACAACAACTAAAATTTTATCCAAAACAAAACTAATTGAATCTTTTTCTTCCAATCACAACACGTGCAGCTTAAAGATCTCCAACAGAAGAGTTAAAAAAGGGTCAACAACTCCTCATAGTGAAGGAATTCTACACATATAAAATGACTGAAATATCAATGAAGAAAAAGGAGGAGAGATCTCACCAGGATGAGGTCGAAGAGGGTGGCCTGGTCGACTTTGACGAAGTCAGCGTCCCAGGTCTTGAGATCGTCTTCGGTGACGCTCGGGGCGTCGTCCGATGAGGAGGACCTAGCGGCGGCATCGACGTGCTTCTTGCAGTACTCGACGACCTTCGCGAGGATCTTGGAGGTGACGTTGGGGAGGGGGATGCCGTTGTCGGCGCAGTCGTCCTCGATCATGTGCTTGATGGTCTGCGACTCCATGGCCACCGCCTCCTCCACCTCGAACACCTCCCCATCCGAGCTCCTCAGCGTAATCGTCTTTGCCATGGCCGCCTTCCCCGCTTCGATCGAGATCCAACAGAAAAAGGAGAAGAGATCGAGAGAGAAAGCCGAAGAAGAAGGAACAAATGACTCGATTTGGGGTTTCAAGATTATCTCTATATGTACCGAATGTGGTTGGCCTCCTCGGACGGCTTCTTTCCCTAGAATAGGTGCTAATTATGGACCCAGTAGCGGGTCCCACCTGAACTTTCGGTCATCCGGAAGGTAAAAACGTGGGTAAACTGTGAACAGATGTGAATGTGTTGCTTATTATTGATGGCCCGTTCGACCTCGGTTGGGAGAGACGTAGCGGTCGAGTTCAACGAGGAAACGCAGGAATCCGGTGCGGAAACGACAAGATTGAACAGTATATTAATCACCTAATCATGATCAGATCTCGAAATCCAAAAAATCTTCACGGGGATGTTGAGGTAAATCAATCTTAGACATATAATCAAATATTTTGTTTTTTTTCTCTCTCTCTCTCGATCTTAGTAGTTCGTCTGATTTGATCAAATAATTTTTTTGATTTTGAATGCATTTAAATAATAATTGGGATTGCGAGATGTAACCTCAAGCAATTTCTCTAAAAATATATAAGACCGAGCTATGCAGTTAATACCTGATTAAACACGTAATATCAACGAATTTTGAGACGTAAATACATTTATCAATTTCCATATCTGATCGGACCGGTATGTACCGCCCATACTAGGCGGTACAATTTGATATTACAGAAACTTCCATCTTAAATGGTTTCAAGGAAGTTTACCATGAAGTGTCCATAGGTTCTCACGAGATTAGAAACAAATACAAAGCCAGAAAGCACACTATTAAATTTTAGAGCCAATCTAACCCACAGGAAAATCTAAAATAAATTGTTGTTTACAAGTACATCATCATCAGGACATGGCCAGTACATGAGATTTTCATTAGTCTACTTGGATTTTCTAGTACCAGTAGAGAGATTATTTTTGTGAATTAAACTTTGATCATAGCATTCTACCAGTTAATGAATAGTCTCGACAATATTATGCTAGTTGTCCATCTCTAGTGAACTCTAATGAAAATATTTCACAACTTGTGTGGTACATTATTCACACTCCATTAAAAGGAGATGCACTAAGTTCATCAATGTAGCTGAAATGCAAAAACCAACAACCGGCAAAGATCTTGCCAACTAATGAGAGGAGGTAAACAAGAGATACCTAAAGATCCGTTTGACTGACTAAGCCTGGAAGAAATATGCATTTATCCATTTGTGCCGAGTGCAAAAGTCTTGACAATGCCGCTGACTCTTCCAGCAAAGATTCTGGAGGCTATCTTTTTTCCTGGAACATGGAAAGGATTGGAGACAGCATCCACGTAGGCGGCGTGGAACCTCCTAAAAAACTGAGTGCCAGCAGAATATAAAAAGCGATAAGGAGTTACAACAAGATTTATGATAATCCTCGGATAAATCTTACATAACATACTACTAGAGTTGTTCCTGGAATTTCTGAGTCTCATGCTCATAGAATAACTGAGTCTTGATAAATTAATTCCGATGATGTCTTGCAATCATTTGCATCCAAGTAAAACCAGGAAGTTCTGTTTTCTGTATGTTTGTGCACATGATCAAATGTGTCTGTGTGTGACCTCTTTAAGAGGAAAGGTGTTTTTATGTCCAAGTAGCTTGTCTTGTTAACAGATCATTTTGCTTGTTATCCTCAAACACTGTACTCTCAAGAAAAGACATGTTGGTGTCTCTTATTGTTGAGTAACAACAACAGACATATGGCTACAGAAATAATTGAATTGATATTAGATGAATTAAGCATCATGTTCCAAGGATATGACACTTATCTCAGCTTTTACTTCTTGTCAAACATGCATTAATAGACAAATAAAATGTTTCAAAAAGGATGCACTAGGACTAGGAAATGAACTCCATGAGTGCATCAATCCTAACCTGAAGCTGTCAGATCAAGTGACTACGTGTTTATGCATCTAATTCAATGGACCTTGCCCATGACAACAAAATACTGCAAAATCCACAGAAGACTACAAATTCAACCGTCTCTCTTTAGATTGGCTACGATCCTACCGGAACTGAACCCATTCACATTGTCAGCCCTAACTGATGCATTTGACACAGTTATAAGGCTAGTATCATGGTATATTGTTGCTCATATAAACCCTCTAGTAGATTTCATCAAGAAACATGGAGTGAGGTATTACAGTAGTACCTATCTTGAACAAATGACTTTGCTTTCTGTGTCATTGTTTTCACTCTTGTTTTATTTGTGTACTGTACTTACCGTTCCTTAGCTAGACTTATAATGCAAAGGGAACTGATCTAGATGTGCTGAGCCTTACGCTTCTAACATCAGCATCTTTGACATCCAGATCAGTTGTCACCATGATGAACTTCACCTTAGTGTTAGTCAGGTACCCAAACCTGCAGAAAGAATACTACAATCAAGAAAACAACCAAAAGAGACACATCCAACAATAGAATTGAACAAACAAAAGTCTTAACGCAAAGAACCAGAAATGACTTACACTTTGTAACTCTCCGTTGGAAACAAAAGACCAAGGAAGGTCTCGTTCAGAGTAAGCACACTCCTCTTAGGATTATTTACTGCCAAAAGGAAGAGCACAAAAATAAGCCACAAAACCATAGATGCTTTCTTACAACTTTGGACTATGTAATAAAAAAACTGCTCTGATTTGGCACACACTGGAAGCTTACAGATTTTGTTGTTGTCACATATAATAGGATAATTTTTAAAGATAAATCAACCACAGAGGCAGCAGTTCTGATGGACATTAGGATGGTTAACACATGATGGTGTTCTGTAACTTTGCTTACCGTTAATCATGTAAATTTCTTGTGGAACTTCTGTCATACGAACACATCAGTTTTTTAATTGCATGTGAGCAGAGAGAATAAAAATGAACTTGCGGTGACCTACAAAGTAAGCATCCACTATGATGATACTATTTCCCTGAACAAGTTCCATTGTGGAGAGGATTTAGCACCAAAATTCCCTTCTGAACAGTTTATATCATTACTATTTTAACCCAGTTAAAGCATAGTAAATGATTTTGCACAAGCAAAACATTTTATCTAATGTAATAAGTGACAAGTCGCTGATTTAATAATACTTATTATAAGAGGATCTGCCAACTTACCAAATCCTACTCCTCACAAGAGGTGTATCTTATATAACAACAACAACAAGGTCGTAAGTCTCAACTATTGTATCTTATATGTTTCAAAAAATATCTACATGAGACTCGCATGCACAGTCAATAGTAATTTGAAGAATGTAAGTACAACCTGCTTATTTCGTGGCCTCTACTTGTTAACACATATCTGTAGCATTGAGATCTTCTTAAGCAACCTTGCCCAAGAAAAATACACCATGGACTATCGTATCATCTAGAAGACACGACAACAACATCGACATTTATACATAAAGAGTGAAAGTCTCTGTCTTCTAAGACTCGTATTAGGACCTATAACTGATGCTCGCTCATGATCCCACAAGGTGCTCTAACCCTAGTTGGTTAGCGAGAGACCTTACCCGACTCCTACAACGATGAAGTCCGCTTTCAACAGTCCTCAACTGAGAAGCTTCCAATTAGCCATTGTATGTTGTTCTCATTTCTCCTGGAACAAACATAATCCCTACAAAGACCTGTTTATCGTCGCCTACTACACATCAAGAGATCTCTTTTACGTTGATCTAGTTCATACCAAGATGTCAGCGCACAATTGGAAGAGGATTGTGACAATAACAGGATCAGTATTGTCGAAATTTCCGACAATTGATCCACCGTCAAAGCCAAAATCATATGTTCCAAGAGGAAGAAAGGGGAGGGGAGGAAAGGGGAAAGAGGAACCTCTCTCGTCGATGACGTCGAGGGAGCAGTGGACGATGTGGTGTAGCTTGAGGGCATCGTCAGCCTCGGTGAAGCTCTGCAGGTACAGCGGATTGTTCTGCGGCACACAAGAAGCCGCCAGATTCAGACGGTGGACAAACATGTCATTCGGGTTCGAAGACCAACCTGGTGACCGACGACGGCGACGCAAGCGATCATCACGTCACGGGCCCTTCGTCGGCGGCGCCACCCGTCGGGATCTCGGTGTATCGAGGAGGATACGAGCGGGATGGGGCGAGGCGCTGCGACTCGGGCGGCCAAAGGTGGTTGAATCGATCAAAGCCCCCCCACGAACGAATCGATAGTTCTGTTTAGGCGAGCAGCGTGAGCGGTTGAAACGTTGCGCAGTCAAAGGTCTGACCTTTGACTCCCGTGCATGGCGCATTTATGGGATAAAAAAATAAAAATTATAAAAACATTAAAAATTAATGAATAATAATAATAATAGGATAAATCCTCCAGAAAAAAAAACCCATATTTTCTTTTTTTGTTCCCTCATTTTTCGAATTTTCAACAGAGCGTCTCAGCTTTTCTCTGTACAAAAATGTCGCATGATATTTTCCTCTCTGTTCATAGTTGTTGGAAGCATTTTTCTCCCTTACAAAACACACGTGTTTATACTGAATAAGAATTAATCAAATTACGTTGGACAATTGATCCATTCCGATAGAAATAAATGGAACCATGCCTTAGGGAACATAAAATCGTGCCTTTAGCTTAGTTCTATGTTTTTGATGTAAGATACGACCTTTTTCATATTCTTTTAATTGGGCTGGTTTTTAATCGTATTAACATTAATGTACTAACAACATAAATAATTCGCGGGACTACGAAAACAAGCACTAAAAGACTAAGAGAGAACTTTCAATGAGTAAGAAATGACATAGTTTAAGTACTAATCACATAATCTTTACAATAAACAAAGAAATAAAAGAATGCTCTATTGATTACATCCTACAATCAAAAAGATGCCCTAAAACTTAGAATCATAAACATTGCAAAGCAATAAAATGACACTGGAACTGCTAATCTATCACTGGCAGAGAAACGATGAACCCATTAGAGCAGGCATCCCCCCATCAAGTCATAAAGCAGAAATTTTTGGGATGTGATCAGTCCATGTATTATGCTCCAACAGCGGTTGACTCTCGACCCCTTCCTCGTTGGCCCCTCCCGCGACCGCGACCACGACCACGACCTGCATTATCTCATCGACTTTTAGTTATGGACTAACTTAAATCTTAAAAAACCTGTCGAACATATCTCAACTTCAATCACGGGGGCAAAAAACTGCTTAATATGGACATCATATCAGCCATTAGCATTTTAATCTAAGATAGGAGATAATTAAGTAGATGAAAAAGTCATCAAAAAACTGTCTAAACTGGGCTTATAGTCATCAAGGTAATCTAACCTATACAAGACTTGGCTCTTAATCGATCTTATGAGTTGAATAAACCTTACCTCTGCCGCGAACAGGTACAGGAACCTCATCATCATAGCCATTGTTTTCCAGTTGATAATCAGGCCGGCCACCATAACCACCTCTACCACGTCCACGGAAACCTAAGCCTCTGCCACGGCCATAGCCACCTCTACCGTATCCGCGACCATTGTTATCCCAACTTCCGTCATTGTAGTCTGTTGTGCCATTTTCTAAACAAAAGACATAACTAAACCCTTGAGTATTATATCTAAGAGAATAAGCACAGAAAAAACATGCATCCCATAGATAAAAAGTCTAAAAGATATTTCCGTACCATCATATTTACCACGAGCCCTTCCGCTGCCACGCCCACCACGGCCTCTACCTTGACCAGTAGGTGAGTCTTCTATATTTGTTTGTAAATAAGACATCAGACAAAATTGCATCAAATATTTAACATCATATGGTTGATTGCAGTTTAAAAAATTTACCTCCTTCATAGTCGAATTCAGCCAAGGGTTTCACCTGGTCTTTGGGCAAAGGAGGCTGATACCTGTGCCAAGAAATGATACCTTGTCGATATGATGTCCAATGAAAAACTTAAGTAGAATGTGAAAAGTAAAAGGAAATACATCAAAACAGTTCCACTCTTGATCCTTTGATGCACTACTGATTAGCAAGAAAACTTTGGATGATTAAGAATTCATCAAAATTTAAAGCATTCTCCATGAAAAATATGTTTTGCCTAGATCTTACTGACGTTAAGGGGATGGGATTTGCATACAGTAAATTGAAAGATGACATTTGTCTGGGCACGAAACTATTACTTTCCTTCAACAACTAGTTTCTCCAGGGGAAATATTTGTCTAGGTGTGAAACTTACAATAAAATTATCTAAATTTTAAAAAATATAGTAAACATGAAATATTTATATATGTTCAACCTTAAAATTTACTTATAGTGTCAGGATATACATTTAAAAATCATGACAAATAGTCACACATAACTAAAGAGTATCCTTCAATCAAGAAAGAAATATTCTTTAAAAACACCTCCAAAATACAGAGAAGGTAACAAGGACTTGTAGCATGAAGAGAAGTTATCATCTTATCTTCATTAATAAATGCTCCGCACAAGTTACACATAAAAGGTCAGCTTATGCAAAATTCAAAAAAAAAAATACGAGATATTATTTATGCCATACCTTGACATGTATTTAAACCATCAGAATATATATTTATATAACATAAATAAGAAAATATAATAAAAGCACACCCTTTTTCATCAAGAAGTTATCTTTAAACATATTACATAATACTAAGGGGTCAGCTTATCAAAGATCAAAAGAAACTTAAGAGGAGATATTATGTATGTCAAACCTGGACATGTATATAGAGCACCAGAAACATGTAACAGAAGTGCATCCTTTTTCATCAAGAAATTATTTAATATATAATGATCGAAATGCACAATAGGTAATACAAACTTTTTAAGTGTGAGAACAGAGTTTTATCATCTTATTTTTCATTAGCCGACACTATAAAGAAGTTACATTAAAGTCGAAACTACAATCATGTATCCATCTTGTACATCATAAAATAGACAACATTCAATAGAAACATTGTCCTCTAACAAAATATCCACAAAGTATTCCCAAAAATTCTAAAAGCTTATTGTGTCTCTAATAACTATTTACAATATCAGAGAATTCAGATAACTTCTTGTGTATATCCAAGAAGTACCCAAAAAGCATCATATCCAGCAAATGTCTAATATGGGTACCGAAGCATTTTAAAGTATCGAGATTTACTAGCAGCCCTAGATGAATTCATTAGAGATAGCTCAAAAGCCATCAGTGTTACGTTTTGAAGGCCCAAATTATGGAATGTTGATAAATTTAGAGCAATATGGATATGTCCAGTAGAGCAAATGCGTCGACAGCATACAGAAGTTGACAATGATCCATAACATACGATTGCATAGACAATCAAATATCAAACATCTTGATAAACCAGTTGTTGATAATATTGGATATAAAAAATTCTATCTATGAGGTCCTCCTTTCTCCTTATGTAAGAAAATTAAGAACAAAGTAGCACACAAGGTATCAAAAGATTAACCAAATAATCATGGGAAGACAAGGAACTTGAAAGAAGATTCAATCTTCTAAATGAACTTTTTTGGCTTCCATTATCTTGACAAAACCACTAGATGGTCTAAGATGAGGCTACCAAGTCAGACTGGTTTGTCAATTGAATCTTCTTGGCACAACTTTTTCTTTGAACGCTGAAAATTTAGCACATTATTAACAGTTTCTTTAACACAAAAAATAAGGAGTGAACCCCTTAAAACAACAAAGGATCATGCCTCATAGGTCAACCACATGGAACATTTATCAAGACTGCAAGTAATCTTAGAAGTTATAGAAGCTACAATACAGTGATTCTGTATATCTGACACAAAATTTAGTAATATCCATTCTAATAAAGTGCCAAAAGTAAAAGAATAATATCCAAAGCATGGTCACTGAAGCAGCCAAATTGGTGTCAAATCAACATAATTTCAGATTCAAGGCCACACAGTGAAGATACATTGACAACAGTTTAATTGCAAAAAACGGTTCCTGTAGAGAAGGAAAGAAAATTGGTCGCAATAACTTATATGTTGTGCTATAAAGAGATTAAAGAACCAGATAATACATATTTTTTGAATGCTTGAATCATCAACTTCAGAAAATATACTGAAAAATTATAAGGAAATGCTTCTTGTACTTACCCCACAGCAGATGCATCCAGTTCCTTCTTTGACAAAGTTATACTGATCACAGAGACATGCCTGGTAGTCTCAAGACTGAAAATAACAATTGTAAGTTACAAAGTGACTTTTTCAACATTTGAACATGGAAAAACCAAAACATTTTGAAGTTCCAGGCATGGCAACTTTGCCCCAAAAAAACCAAATTTCTTTCAATCAAAAAATGACTTCTTACGGAAGTAGGCCTTCTTCTAATGGCTCCCATGTATCGGTTATGTCAGTAGATCCAATAGAAACAATTTGATGAAGACCACCTATCCTTCTCTGCATCAACATTATAAAACAAACCATTAGTAGGGGAGTTTCTTACAATTATATTTTAAATAATAAATAGGAAAGAATCAGCATAATAAAAAAATATAAGAAATCCACTATAATAACTAAAGGTAATAACAGAACACAAAGAAGAAGTACCTTGATCAGTTCCACTATCACAATAGCTTTGTTGATTGCTCTACCCATTGCCTTTAAGACGATTTCATTTGAACCTTTTTCCTTTAAAAGTGAGTATGAGGAGATGTCAGTAGTAATAGTGTAATACAGACAGCCTTTTGTGAATCTTAATTGCAAAATGTTAAAGACAAAAGCACGATGAAGCAGTCAAATTACTATTTGCACCCAATTAAAATTCATCTAAACTAACAATCATCATTATGCAAGCATGAGGAAAGTTCATACGATAACGTAATAGAATAGCTTAAGCATAGGAAAATCAGCATAGGACTTCATGGGTGCCACTTAAAATTTACCCTATGAAGGTTCAAATGAATTAAAATTCCAGTTTTCAAAAGATATAATTACTAAAATAATTGTTTTTTCTGCTGTTTAAATCTAGATAGAAGAAAGGTCCAATGCACAAGGCTCTTACCTGTGTGGATTTTGGTGGGATCAATGAACATAATCCTACCCATGCAAGAAAAGATATTATTTTCATTAATCAAACCCTATTTACTCAAGCTGCAAGGAACAACATCGCTGTTGCGTAAATGTAAATGGGCATCATAAAATGTTAAGAATCGATTGAACACTTCAACTGTGACCAAAAACAACAAAAGACACTAGGGAACTTTCTAACTATAAACTACAAGCCTTGGGCTATCAACTCCGTCCACATAACTTTTCACATTCAATTATGCCTGACATGGATATGGTAGAACATTGTGGAATCCAAGGTGATCTACACAAATCTACTAAAAGCCCTTATTTTTTTAATCAAATATGTAATTAATTAATTAATTTGACATAACTTTTTATCTAAATATTTATAAAAACAACATTATTTGAATATTTAATTAATTTATTTGACATGGATGTTTATCTAGACTCTTATCAACCAAACAACATGCGCCATGGATGTTTATCTGAATATTTCTAAAAAGTTCATCCATTGCCAACGTCAAAAGATAAGGACTCCAATTTGATCTTAAAGGACCTCCCATTAATTTAAAGCTTGGAGACTCCAGCACATATATATTTTATCACTGCCATATTCCTATCAGATATTTTTTTTTTTATAAAACCAGATATTATCCTTTGAACTCTATGGCACATTTTGGGCACTTAACATAAATGAGCTCCAGTGTGGTCCATCATTGTTTCAAGTATTGAGACAATGGTGATTATGTCAGTATCTAATACAAAACAACTCTTGTCTTCTGTTATTCAGTTCATATATCATTGTGCCACTCTTACATGTACACATGCTTGCAAACAGGTTAAAGACATAAATAGTTTACTTGTGAAAGTACCATTCAGTGGTGCGCTACCACCATCCAAGTTTAAATTTCATCGCCATAATCTTTTAACTACATGATATCATCAACATCTTTCAATTTAAGTCTGCTTAAATGTCATTTTTTTTAATCTGCTTAAATCTCATAACCATAAAAACAAGCTTCTTAATCTCCCGTAAACTACTACTACGAGCAAGAATACAATAGACAGAATCTATTAGACCAAGATACAGGACTAAAAAAATCTTGGTTCCTCGGGTGACACATACCTGAAGCAGGCTGGTGGCATAGGTGATGTAGTTGCGGATCCTCCCCTGAGTCGTGATGCGGATCTCATTCTCATTAATCGGAGTCTCCGCCCTCGGTTTCTCCACCCTCTGGTACCGATCCATCTTCCCATCCATCGAACACCATAAAGATCAAAAAGTTGGACAAGAAGAAGCACTTTATCAGCCTAAACACCTCGGACTACACGAATGATTCCAATTAAAGCAACAAAAGCAAACAATAACACCTAAAACCAACTGAAAAAGCCCGCTGCACACCGTAGGACTCAGATATCAACATAAAACAAAAAAAAATGACGTAAATATACGTAAAAATCATTTCGGCAACATTGGACGCGAAACCAAAGAAGAAGGCAAACTTCTACCGTGTTAAGAGCCACGAACACCGAATCAAGCAACGAGAACAAAACAAACAAAGGGAGAACAACAATGAGGGGGTTTACGTCTCTCTTACCTCGGTTTTCGCTACCGCTCGTGGCCCTCTACGGCTCAGTACTTCTTTTCCGCCCTGAAGGAGACTGTCACCGCCAACCGCTTCTTCTTATATAGCGATCCGCGAGGGAGAGAGGCGAACTGGTCTTCTTCCCATTAGGGTTCCTATGCAAATAAATAGCCCAAAATGAGCTGTTAATTACCATCAAGTCCAAAAATCATCACCGTAGGATTAATATGTATGGAGATGCCCTCTTAAGCGTCCAAATAGAAATGATTAAACCATTTATGACCCTTGATTTGTGTGACTAAATCCTTTGACATAATTGATTTTTAAAAAATTAAATAAATATATTGAATTTAACATAAACAAAAATATTTATCTTTACTAATCTATATGATATGTTTTAAGTGAATTTCCACATTTTTAGTTTTCTTCCCTTAGATTAGCATTCATTTTTAGTTGTTTTTTAATATGACAAAAATTCTCTCACTTTTTTTTTCTCATTTTCCAATCCAGTCTTCCTCCAAATGAACTCATTCGACACAATTATTTAGAGTGGTTTAAAATAGTATTATATTTTATTTATTTATATTTAAATTATCAAAAAGTGTCACATAAAAAATGATCTTAGAATTTATAAATACAAATATTTACAAAAATTATGAAAAATATAAAAAGCCATGTAGTGAATAATGATAAAAGCAAAATATAAGAATGCTATTTATTAGAAAAAATACAAATTAAAATATCAAATTATAAAATAATAATATTTAAATTATTAATTTAATAAAATATTCGAAAATAATTGAATACACCATGTGTAAATGTTTCCACCTTAGTATATTTGTTTATGTAACATTAAACACTCTTTTTTTTATTATTTTAATGTAATTTTACTTGAAATATATCAAAATTGATAGAATATTATCAAAAACTCAAATTAGATTTATAAACTATAAAATTTCTAAGATAAAAGTTATTTACATAGAGTTGAAATATTAAATTTTGGTTCTCAACCTAACTTATCAAAATTAACCTAATGTATTTTCAAGTATTGTTGTGTTTAAAAGAGGGAAAGAAATTCAATTAGTTGATAATGATATATTTTGGGAAAGGTTATTGGTCTTATATCCATCATAAATTTACAATATTAAGTGTTTTAACAAGGAAATATTTCTCTTAGATATCTTGTCGATATGCCATGTTCAATTAGTGTGTTCATAATACTTTCATTAAAAATAGATGCATCGGGCATAAGAGATGTTTTAGGGTGTACAGAGCATTTTGATGTTTATATCTAGGGAGGATGCATCTTGCAACGGAAGATACTTTGTCTAATAAGAATGTGCATCAAATGCTTTGATATTTATATAATGTATCTTATAAAGATATGCACTTGAGATATACTTATCTTATGTAGATACACTATGAAAAGAAATTAAAGATAAGCACTTGAGATATACTTATCTTATATAGATACACTATGAAAAGAAATTCTTTGATGGTGTCAAGTACTTTAAGTTTTTTTTTTTAATTCTAAATAGGTGCAAAAAGAATGCTTTGATTATTTTAGATGCTTCAAATATTTTTTTTTTATCTTGAGCAAACATATCACATGTGAGAGAATGCCTTGTTCACATCATATACTTCTGATATTTTTATTTCTAAACTAGATGTATCACATTGCACATCGAGGTAGAAAGATACACATCTCGCTTGACCTTAATAGGTTGGGTGGCCAAAATCAAAATCCTCAACTTGAACTTGAGTTGGGCTCACTTGTAATACATATGTTGTCAATATGCAAATATATATATACATATATATCAATATATATATATATATATATATATATATATATATATATATATATATATGTATATATATATATATATATATATATATATATATATATATATATATATATATATATATATATATAT